TTTCACTATTAATTTGAATTTATGTTATAATTTATGTTCCTTAGTGTTCATTATTTTGTACTGCTTTAACAAATACAAGTAGTCAGCTTTAAAGGACACACATTTAGTTTCACACAGTTCAAGAAGCTAGTAGTCCGAAGACACAGTGTGGCTCTAGGATGAGTTCCTTTTTGATTTATTTTAGCTTCTACTAGCCAGGAATCTATGGACTTGGCTTGCAGGTGCATCTGCATCATGTGTCTGTCTTCATATGGTAGCTTGCCCACCTCTGTGCATCTTTGTGTTTAGTCTGCTCACATTATAATTAAGAAGTGATTAAGTTTGTGATCTACCTTATTCTAGTGTGGCTTCATTAATGTAGTTTAAAAAAAGCCCTATTTCACATCCATAGGAACAGAAGATAGAAATTCATGTATTTTTTGTAGACACAATTCAGTGGCCCCATATACCCAAAAATCAGTAAGATTTAAAGAGAGCTGACAAATGTTGAGGTTCTTCGTTAGAGCAGTTTAGAGCAAAAGGGAAGATTTTACCTCATTCAGTAAAGTGAGTTAAATAAAGTAAGAATAAAATGAAGCACACTACCTTATGATTCTAATTTTTTAAATTAAACATTATTTTATTTTGTTTTAGAATTTAGAAAAGTAGGCTCCCATTTAACAATGTAAATACAAATTGTTCTGTGACATTGATTATAATTTTCAAAATGTTTCAGCATTCTCATTAATTCCATTGAGCTACCTTCCTTTCCCTTTCTTGCTTCTCATCTTCACTTTGGGGTTTGGTCTCTTATAGTTGATAGTTTAGGGAGGACATTACTTACAAGTGACTGTTGTTGTTAGCTGCCATCAAGTCTGTACCGACTCATAACAACTCTATACACAGCAGAACGAAACACTGCCCGATCCTGGGCAAACCTCACCACTGTTGCCATGGTTGAGTCCATCGATGCTGCCACCTGGCCAATCCATCTCATTGGGGGTCTTCCTCTTTTTCCTGAACCTCCACCTTACCAAACGTGATATCCTTCTCCAGTGACTGGTCCCTCCTGATAACATGTCCAAAGTACGAGACATAAAGTTGGGCCATCTTGGCCTCCAAGGAGCACTATGGCTGCACTTCTTCCAACA